TAAAAGTCCTCCTTATCTTCTTGTAGTTTCAAAAGTCTATCATAAATCTAATCCATAGATTTATGATAAAAAAATGATAAAAGTAGGGTAGACATGTGGATGTTATCCGGCTAATCAAAACGTGCATTTATCTAACAGGTACGTTTCCCACAGATCTTATTTCGAGCTATTTTCTAAAATCCTCTGGAGAAATCTCATTGCTTTTTTGTGCTTACTTCCTGGTTTTAGGACGCGCCACTGCAGCTCTCTCGTCTCCTCTTCACACAGCACACTTTTCGCGGCACACGTACTTACAGCCAATCAGCTCTGAATGATTTGAGATGACGTATGGTGGGGATGGTAGCTCCGTGCCCCTCTGGTCATTATTTTTTTGCCACACACATTACATAGAAAAATACTCTGAGCATGCGCAGTGTAGTTTTTACAGTCACCGTTCACTTCACAGCGAGAGGAAGGGGCATAATCAGGTTTTGTCCCACATGGCTCTAAACAGCTCAATAGGCACACACTGTGACTGTAGACACACTAATTAGAAGAACACAGACTAAAACAGCAATGTACAGACGAATCAGATGATTAAACATGATCTTAAAATATATTTTATATATTTTTTTATTTATTTTTTTGCATTTTTGTAATCATTATTTGTAATACTTTCTGCTGACACTAGGTGGGGCTGTGCCCCACCTGCCCCTAATGACCAGTCGCCACTGTCAGTCCCTCATCATTCAGTCAGTGGAACAACAACATGTTTCAGCACCTCATCATTCAGTCAGTGGAACAACAACATGTCTCAGTACCTCATCATTCAGTCAGTGGTGGAACAACAACATGTTTCAGTACCTCATCATTCAGTCAGTGGTGGACAGAGATGGGGTCGTTACTAAAAAAAAGTAATATATTACATATTACATATTACTTTTAAAAAAAAGTAATATATTACACTACTTCGTTACTCTCTACATAAAGTAACTCGTTACTTTACTCGTTACTTTACTCGTTACTTTACTCGCAGGGCCGGCCCGCCCCTCCCTACAGGCAGATCACGCAGACTGCTAAAGTTTCAAATGTTCTCTTTAGTTCAGTTTCCATTGTCCCATAAGACTGATCCAGATAGCTCTGACTATGGCTGTCCTCTGTCTCCTGCTATCTGTATTTTGCGCAATATATCTCTGAACGATGCGATGGTGATTCCACTGTGCAAATGGGCAACATTACCTCTACTATGAAGGATGCTACAAGCCTGTCCATCTCTGCTTTGGTTACCGGTCCTCCAAATTCTAATTTGTGCCGCTTCGGAGTCGGCGGCGGCGACTCACAACATCCTCACTCTGGGTTCGGGGGTCCGGTCCTTAGCTATTAGCTTCACCTTAGCATGTGTTCTTTGCAGGTGTTTGTTGAGGTTTGACGTGGTGTTTACAGCAGTGTATAACAGCTTCTGGCCTGGACACAGTTTGCACCTCACCGTCACATTCCTGTCTATTCTTCGGACAAACTCAAAAATAATGGGCATACCTCCACCCCTCGAAAGTTATCGCTGACTCTGCCATGTTTATGCAGCACTGCAAGTGGAGATGTGGACGTGCAAGTCGCGCAGATTACGTACATATAAACCTGCGGCGGAAACCCCTCTTGTCTGTCAGTGTGATTATGACTGATTTTATAAAAGTAACGAAGTAACGCGTGTCGGGGCAATGTTAGTAACTGTAGTGTGATTACTGAATTATAAAAGTAACGCGTTACACTACTCCGTTACCGACAAAAGTAATATTATTACTTTGTAATGCGTTACACCCAACTCTGGTGGTGGAACAACAACATGTTTCAGTCCCTTATCATTCAGTCAGTGGTGGAACAACAACATGTTTCAGTACCTCATCATTCAGTCAGTGGTGGAACAACAACATGTTTCAGTCCCTTATCATTCAGTCAGTGGAACAACAACAACATGTTTCAGTCCCTTATCATTCAGTCAGTGGAACAACAACAACATGTTTCCGTACCTTACAGTAGAAGTAAAGGCCGACGGTCACCAGCAGCTGAATCAGCGGCAGGACGACAGCTCGGATGATAAAAGGTTCTGGATCTGATAGAACACATGGACAGCATCACATCAAGAGTCAGCAAACACACAGAGACCTGAACCCACTTCAGCATTGAGACTCCTCTCTACAGTTATATTACAATAAACTACATCTTCTTAAGATCTTCATTCAACCCCAACCCTTTTTCCTGTTCATACCAGACAGTAGGACTGTACGGAGAAGCTGCTAGCTGTATCTGTTAAACAGTCAGTACTCATGGCAATACTCCAATGTAAACTACAGCTGACTGGAGAACCACTAGTCTGGAAACAGATGCAGAGAAGATAAAATAAGAGAAATAAAAGACACAGAATGAAAGTTGTAATGAAGCGATACGGCCTGCAGGAGGCGTGAGCAGTCCATCAGAGACCTGCTGACTTCTGGAGGGACTTCAGACTGCAAGATAACAGGCTAACAACATTTGTTTTAAAGGTGTATGTTCTCTATAAACTGTTTCTGTAGGATCACTTATAAATCCCTGATCACAGCTGGGAACAGGAAGTCAGGTTCACTGGTTACCAGTAGCTGCCTGCTCCAGGGGTCTGGTACTGGTCTACCAGTGGTTCTACTGAAACTGGTCTGGCTGATCTGAAGCTGATGTAGCTGCAGGAGGACTCTTGCTGTTCTGGATTCATGTCTTCACGGTTCATTGCACTTATTGTACGTTGCTCTGGAAAGCTACATGTGATGTAAGGGTGTGACTGCGTTCTCCTGGGGAGCATCACGCTCTGTCCTACAGTAAACTCTAACAGCTCACCTGTGACAGTGACGGAGAGCAGACGGCTCTCAGAGGAGAAGTCCTGAGAAAAAGCAGAGACATAAACACAGCTGTAGCTTCCCTGGTGGGCGGGCTCTGCAGCCGGGAACAGGAAGTGGGCAGAGTGATTGACAGCTGGCTCTGAGTAGTAGTTGTTTGCTGAGTTGATGGAAGTGAAGCTGAGCAGGAAGGAGCCTCCTGGGTACTGAGGCTGGATGGAGCAACTGATGGTGAAGGTGGAGCCTCTGAACACCTGGAACCCCTGCTGCTGGGCCCCGGAGACCCCGTACATGGAGGAGGACACAGAGATGTTGGGCTGAAACAGCAGATCTGTCAACACAGAGAGAAAGGACAAAGAGACAGGTGTCATGCCATCAGTCTGACATACTCTGAACAGAAGAGTCAAGTAATTAAATTGATCGTCGCAGATTTAATAGTTACTTAAAAAATCTTAAAGTAGTGTTAATATGTGGAGATTGTCCTGCTGAAAAAAACTGTGTAAATATCATAAACTTTACTGACACAGAGATTATTTTCTGTAATAATCCAACATCACATGCAGAAATCGCATTGGACCAGGGAGATGCTGCCTTCAGGGTCCAACACAGAAATACCACATCCCTGCACAACTGTATAACGTGTACACCTTTTTTAATATGTAACCTATAAGAAATGATATCCTTAAGTTTTGTAATTTTTCGGAGGGCGGCATTTTGATGTTTAGGAAGTGACACTTTAAAAAGAGGAATTAAACACAAGTTGTCCTGGTGTTATCAGTTAACCCCATTGCAAAAACTCTCCTGTCAAAAATTGTGTTTTACGACCTATAGGTATTGATTCTTTGTTGTGTATCTATTAGGGCTGTCAGTCGATTAAAATAGTTAATCGCGATTAATCGCAAATTAATCGCACATTTTTTATCTGTTCTAAATGTACCTTAGAGGGATATCTTTCAAGTTTTTAATACTCTTATCAACATATGAGTGGACAAATATGCTTTATATGTTTGTTTATTATCATTTGAACAATGACAAATATTCTCATGAATATTAAACACAACAACCTCTGAACATTACAAATATTCGCCTCAATTCAACCTGGAACCTCTCTCATACAATAATACTGTGTGTGTGTGTGTGTGTGTGTGTGTGTGTGTGTGTGTGTGTGTGTGTGTGTGTGTGTGTGTGTGTGTGTGTGTGTGTGTGTGTGTGTGTGTGTGTGTGTGTGTGTGTGTGTGTGTGTGTGTGTGTGTGTTCACACCTCATACATTGGAGCTATGTGCAGCTCAAGGCATATATGCTCGAACGTGTGCTGCCTGGACGCTGCAATCATGATGCGCGCACTATCCGTGCTGAGTGTGCTGACTTTTCGTACAATGTCCCACTGTCTGGCTACCTGCATAAAGTCAAGTGCTCGGCGCAGTTGTCGGCGAAATGTCATTGAAACAGCTCCTTATATCCGTTAGCGCAGCTAGCTAGCACCAGATGCTAACAACAACAACACGTAAGGTGTGCCTCGCTCGCGCGAGTCGCGCCACACATACACACTCCCTCCCGGTCCTCCCGATGGCCAGTCCGGGCCTGCCAGTGAGCGTGGAAGTGTGGTCTGCCACAAGCGGGCGATAGGAGCGGGGCTGTCAGCATCAGCTTGTAGATGGTATTTTAAACTCGATGCGCTCTGAAACTACGGCGGCCGAGGACAAAAAATACACATGCGTTAATCGCGTTAAAATAATTAGTGGCGTTAATTTTTTTTTGCGTTAACGCGTTATTAACGCGTTAACTTGACAGCCCTAGTATCTATAAAAGGCTTTATGTTACTTAAAGTAGGGCGCTCACTGACTAGGAGGACGGCATGTTTGCAAGCATTAAACGATCTCAGAAGAATAAACATACACTATATAGACAAAAGTATTGGGCCACATACAGGAGCTTTTATGACATCCAATTCCAAACAGACGGCATGGCTAGGTGCTTGATTTTATACACCTGTGGCAATGGGACTGAATTAAGCACCTGAATTCAATGATTAAGAGGATGATTGGTGGCCCAATACGTGTACAATACTTTCTATATAGTGCATGAATGTTGTTTGGTTGACTCATCGCTTTCTAGACAGAAACATTGCGTCCTGATTTTAATCCGTGACGCCACACGTTTCTACTCACCTGCTTTGTAAAGTTTGGATTTGCAGATTGTCTCGACCACCGATTGCTTGATCTTATCCAAGCTGCCGAAGTTGTTCACGGTGAACAGCCTCTTTGCTGCTCCCGTGATCTGCAGGAGCTCCAGATCGTGGACGTTTCCAATGCTGATAGCGAACACCTCGATGGACAGAGCCCGGAGATGATCGGCGGCATCCTCAACGTCGTCATCAGATTCCCCGTCTGTGATCAGCACCAGATTCTGGGAGATCCCGGCAGATCTTCGGCTGCCACGTGACGCCTCGAAATAACCCCTGATGGAGTCCAGGGCCTGTCCGATATTAGTGCCTCCACCCCTCTGCGTCATGCTCAAGATGTTCTTGTTCACGACATCCTGGCTGTAGAACTTGTTGAGGTCAAATTCGTCCTGGAACTCGCTGTTGAACTGGGCGAGCCCGACACGCACTAGATTCTCACTCACTTTGAAGCTGCTCACTAGATCTGAGGTGAACTTCTTCATGATGGTGTAGTCCTCCTGTTTGATGCTGCCGGACTGATCGAGCAGGAAGACCAGGTCGGCCTGCTGTTTCTCACAAACTGCAAAAGCAAAAAGAGGTTTCTACATAGCTAGTGAATAATCAAGTATACAAAAGGCACACTTCAAGTTATTTTAATACATTCTCGCCAGCTTACAACAGTATTTCTCAACCTTTTTGTGTTGCGACATCCTGGAATACTACGGTTGGTGTACGTAACCAACCCTAATGCAAACGCATTGATTGTTTATACACTTTCTACACATTCAGTGGTAGATGCATGTGATTACTGTGTGTCCCCCCCACAGCTAAACAAGATTATATAACTGCTAGAGGTGATGTCTTGTTAAAGGCTTTCCCGATATAAAATATGTGTTTGTAGATTAAAATATGTTGTTTTATTTGTATCTCGAGACCTACATTTTTTTATATCACTACCCCCAGGTTGAGAACCACTGACCTAAAACACTGAATTGTACTGTGGTTTAAGGTTTCTGTGGCCCTTACCCGTCATTGCCACTGTGAACACCATCTAAATTCCCAGCTTAGCCTATGAATACAATCCCAAATTGCTCTAAAGACATAACTGGCTGATATTTCCCAGTGGTTTGAAATAGAGTAGAAGTAGAAAGTAGAACAAATGTACTTAATACTAAAAAAACACTTAAGTAAATTAACTCAAATTTGTACTTAATTAGGGAGTTAAGGTACTTAGTTACTTTCTATAACCGCACATGCCTATTACCTTGCTTGGTGGTGTCACAGAGGACTTGAGAAATGTTCTTGTACAGACTCTCCAGGGCCTTGAAGCTATCCACGTAGAAAACTTTGGAGGAGTCGTTCCCGGCCATGATCTCCAGCTGTGTCTTGTTGGCTCCTTCAACTCCGATACTGAAGACGCTGATCCTGTTTTCCCGCAGAGCCACAGACGGCTCTACCAGACTGTAGAGATCTGTGGCATCCCCGTCCGTGATCACCATGAGGATCTGAGGCACGTTGAGGTCCGCCCGGCCGCCATTGTCTTTGTTGAAGAACGGTAAAGAGTACTTCAAAGCCTTGCCGGTGTAGGTGTCTCCGGACGGGCGCTTCAGCTCTTGAATTGCTTTGAGGACCTCTCGTTTGGAGCTATACTGTTTCAGAGTGAACACGGATTTGTGGGCGGTGGAGTAGAGGATGACCCCGAAGCGCGTCAGATCCTTGCCGACGATGGTTTGGTTCACCATGGACGACATGAACTTCTGCATGCTTCTGAACTTCTCTAGGGTTATGCTCTTGGAGCCGTCCACCAGGAAAATAATGTCAGCTTTTTCTGTCTTCTTACAGTCTGTCAGGAAATTGAAACACAAATCGGGTCAGAAGGCATGTTAAAAGGAACTTTAAAGAACTACTTACTGTACGTTATAGTGAACCTATCAATCATGTTCTTTGGTGTATTTTGTATGTTTTCCTTTTATGTTATGGAAGTTACCGAAATGATCTGCTATTGTGTTGTCCTACCTGTGTTTGTACAGAGCTCCAAGGCCAACTCGTTCTCCAAGTCCTTCAGAGCATCAAAATCCCACTCAGTGTACGTCCTTTTTGCTGAGCCGCTGATCTCCAGCAGTTGGTTGGTGTTGGCGTCCACCACTCCGATGGTGTAGACCACCACTCCCTTATTCCTCAGAGCCAAGGCAGGTTCTTTGACCTCGTCTTGTGCCAAGCCGTTTGTAATCAGTATCAGATTCTGCCTCATGTCAGGATGCCCTCCTCTGGCCGCATCGAAATACCTTGAAACCTCATTAATCGCCTTTCCTGTGCTCGTACCTTCATTCATCTGCTTCATATCATCAATGGCTCTCGAAATGTCAACTTTGCTGTAGTATTGGTTGAGGGGAAACTCCAGATTGTAGCTGGTACTGAACTGCATGACACCGACGTGCACTTTGTTCTCCCCGATGGTTGACTTACTGATGACAGATTTCATGAAGTCTTTAATTTTCTGAAACTCTTCCTCATCGATGCTCTCGGAGGTGTCAGTGAGGAAAAAGATGTCGCCCTGTATGTCTCTGCAGGCTGTGGACAAAGTAGCACTGTTAGTGTTGTGGTCCACCTTTCAATGCTTTACTTGTTGTAAACGTGCCCATTCATGGAGTTCAGCCATCTAATTTACATTTTAATTTCACATTTCCCCATGCCAATTCCATTCCAACTCGTGTCAAACTAAATATTTGATAGGTTGTAAGATATCAACTTAATACAGTTTGTTCGTAGAGCTCGTCTTTCAACTCAACTCCATTATTGCAAGTTGCAAAGTCAACAATTAACAGTGTATGAAAAAACTAGCAAAGAAAACCCCAGAGATAGAGGACCTTGGCCCGAGATTTATTCTGAGCTAATTTTCCAATATTTCTGACAATTTCTAGAACAGCTAACATACAGAGAATTGCTGAAATGCCTTTTTAAACCCTCGTCCAGTTGTTCTTACCCTCTGGAGAACAGATGTCGGTGACAATGTCGTCCTTGATCGGCGTCAGAGCATCAAAATGATTGACAAAGAAAGTCCTCTTGGGGTCGCCGGCGATCTCTTGCAGCTCGACTGGATCTGCACTTTTCACCCCGATGGCGTATACAGTGACTCCCTGCACCCTCACCTGTTCTGCAGGAACCTTCACCTCATCAACGGACTTTCCATCAGTGATCACCACCAGGTACTTTGGGACTTCGTGACCACGCGTGACCAGCGCTCGATCATAGTGTGGGACCATGGAAGTCAGTGCTCTTCCTGTTTCTGTCCCGCCTCCTATTTGTCTAATTGCCTTTACGGCATTCTCCAAACTCTTCACATCTGAGTGTGCTGTCAGATCAAACTCTAAATCTGGGGAATCTGCGTATTTCACAACCCCTATGCGGACATGTTGTGGCCCAATGCGGAAGGTATTTAGAAACTCAATCATGAACTTCTTCATGTCCTTGAAGTCGTTGGGGTAAATGCTTCCTGATTGATCGATGAGGAAGAAGATGTCTGCTTCATCCTTTTGCACGCAGCCTGGAAAAGGAAAAGCAAAAATGTTGTTAGGTATATGACAAAGCTTATTATGGTTTGGCCTATTGAAAGAACTTGCACACTTCTTGCTGTTTTGAGTTTGTATATTCATGGTGGATTGAACTTATTAAAGCTAAATATGATGTGATGTAATGTGTTTAAATCAGTGGTTCGCACCTTCTTTGATGGCATTTCCTCTGACAGATATTGCTGACCGGAGGATGTTTTGGCACAGACTTTTCTGCAGGCTCTGCTCCAGAGATTTCAGCTTGGCAAAACTGTCCACGATGAACTTGTGCTTTTTCGGAGGATAAGACGCCATCTCCACCAGTTGGGCATGGTTGGCATCTTTGACTCCTACTGCGTAAACAGTGACACCGGCCCGACGAAGGCCAGCCGCCGGCGTGCTTACGTCGTCCTGCGATTCACCGTCTGTGATCACCACCGCCACCTGCTGGACACCAGAACCCTTCCTGCTTCCTTTTTGCTTGATGAAGACCTTCTCCAGGGCGAACTTCAGGGCCTCTCCAGTGTTCGTGCCGCCTCCTTGATAGGGCAGGATCTTGATGTACTTCAGCAATTCGTCCTTGTTGTTGAAGGTGTTGAGGTAGACCTGTGCGGTGGCCGTTGTGTTGTACATCACGATGCCGACTCGCACTCTGGATGGACTGACTTCCAGGCCGTTCACAATCGAGTGCAGGAAACTGCGCACGAGCTGGAAGTTGAGGGGTCCTATACTTCCAGACTCATCAACGATGAACACAATGTCGGCCAGTTTGGCTGCTTTGCAATCTGTAGAAAGGGCATGTATTATCATAGAATAATTATTACCAAATAACCATTTACCAACATTCAAATTAAAAAGACGGACTCAGACGTGGAATACTTATTGCTTTTAACTTTGTTGACTTCTTATTGCTATACTATAATAATCAGTGGTGACTGGTCATTAGGGAAAGTAGTCAGTAGTCAGCAGAAAGTATTACAAATAATGATTACAAAAAATGCAAAAAAAAAAAAAAAATATATATAAAATATATTTTAAGATCATGTTTAATCATCTGATTCGTCTGTACATTGCTGTTTTAGTCTGTGTTCTTCTAATTAGTGTGTCTACAGTCACAGTGTGTGCCTATTGAGCCGTTTTGAGCCATGTGGGACAAAACCTGATTATGCCCCTCCCTCTCACTGTCTAAGTGAACGGTGACTGTAAAAACTACACTGCGCATGCTCAGAGTATTTTCCTATTTAATGTGTGTGGCAAAAAAATAATGACCAGAGGGGCACGGAGCTGCCATCCCCACCATACGTCATCTCACATCATTCAGAGCTGATTGGCTGTAAGTACGTGTGCCGCGAAAAGTGTGGTGTGTGAAGAGGAGACGAGAGAGCTGCAGTGACGCGTCCTAAAACCAGGAAGTAAGCACAAAAAAGCAATGAGGTTTCTCCATAGGATTTTAGAAAATAGCTGGAAATAAGATCTGTGGGAAACGTACCTGTTAGATAAATGCACGTTTTGTTCAGCCGGATAACATCCACATGTCTACCCTACTTTTATAATTTTTTTATCATAAATCTATCGATTAGATTTATGATAGACTTTTGAAACTACAAGAAGATAAGGAGGACTTTTACAAAAAAGTAATAGAAATGTTTGTCCAGAAGGATAGGCAAATGGACTTCATCTTCAAGTCAAGGTAAGACCACCATTTTATTGAAAATGGGATCTTACTAAGAGAGAACAATTCAATATTTAAATGATAAAATTACATTTTTTGGGTATCCTTTTGTTGAACTGTCTGTTTAAAATTAATCGAAGCATCAGACAAAAAAAGCTTTTGAAAATAATATTATATTTTGGTTTAGGTCAAAATATAATATTTGTAAACCTGAAGAGTCAGTGCCAGTGCCTCACCAGCCATGAACCTCACTGCACGTCACTGCAGAAGCTTATATATAGACATCTAAGTTTTTTGTGCCCCACCACTTTTGTACATATAAAAACGCCACTGATAATAATTGTTTTACAACAGTTCTTCCAATAATAGATTCAGATATACTGCATATATTTTTTCAGTGGAAATTGTTATTTTCCTTTTTGGTCCTTATCTATTTCTTGTAAACTTTATTTTATGTTATTAGAATTTGCTATAAAGATATTAACATATTTGCTCTTATTTTACATTGTACTTTCTCTTACTGTGTGTATGTATTCACTATTATAGACCAAAGCTAATTCTTTGTATCTGAAAATAGCACAACTACATTTATTTTATATTGAAAAATACTTGAAATTATTTTTTAATGCAACGCACAAATTCATAAAAGACATCTCAAACTAAAGTTACGTTAAATGTGTAATGTTTGAATTCATGTTATTACCATCTAAGACAAGATCTGTTTTGTTGATGCATCAGTTGAAAGTACACTGTCAAAGCTAACAATGTAATCAAACTGGTTTACTCATTTGTCAGTAAAACATATCTGAGATCTATTGATTGCGTTTCATTAAGGCATTTGTTTTCACTTATTTTAATTACCTGCTCTTGCTTCGTATTTCTCTTAATTTGTATCTTTGTTTCTCATGGCTTTTTAAATGATTATTGTGTAATGTTTTAAAAGCCCCCCTGAAACAAGATAGCTACACTAAAGGGGCTTATTCTTGACATTCTTTCTTCATTCAGCATATGGAAAGAGACCGACTGTGAATAAATTGTTGTAAAATGCACTTTCAAAGGTGCCATAAGAACATTATAAATGACAGTAATATTCAGTCATAGTATCATTTCATTACCTCCAGTAAGAACAGTCTCCGCTTCCTCTGTTTCAAAAGCAGCCCTCATTATGGGTACAATGTTGGTGATGGACTGGTATATGTACGGTGGAGTGGCAACGATTCTCATTTCCTGCATTGATGCACCGAGGCTCAACCCAACCACGGTTATTCCAGAAGATTTGATCAGGCGGGACTCCCTATACACGGGATCATCAGAGTCTTTCCCACTTATAACCACCAGGAACTGTCGGTAGCCTTGTTCCGCACGGCTTCCCGCATTACTCGTGAAGAGGTTGGTGCTGGCGTACATCAGAGCTTTGCCCAGATTACGAGGCTCGTTGGGTTGCAGTTTACGCTGGCGGAAACGCTTCACATCATTGAGCGTCTCGATTTTGGTTTGGTGGGCATTAAGAAGATGTTCATCCTTGACGTCTTGACCGTACTGAGCCCAGCCCAGGCGGTAGGCGGACGCTCCGATGTTAAGCTGATTGGCGAGTCGGGTAAGGATGGTCCTGATCTGCTGAAACTCTGCTGCAGTCACGCCACTGTCCACCAGGAAGAAGATGTCTGCAAAACGTTCTGCCAAGGCTGAGAGAAAACACAGGAACAAGAACAGTAAGAAGATCTGCTGCTAGTGTGCTCTGTATAGAATAAAAATAAGCAATGCTTGATCGCCTAAATTACTTTAAATTGACCATCATTTTGAAAATGTACATCATTCTTCATTGAAGAAGAACATAAACTCATTAGGAAAATATTTACTGAGATAATAGATTGAGAGTTAATGTTATTTACTTACTTTTCAGACCTAGACTATGCTGCTTATTGGGTGGTTGTTTTCTTATGAATATTGTGTTTGCAAGATAAATAACTTTGTAATCCTTTGCCTTACCTTGCTTCTGATCCTCCACTGAGATGCACACAGTTTTCAGCAGACTGTCTTTCAGCGTCTTCAGAGCCGCGTAGTTACTGATGGAGGACAGGAAGCGCTCTGGAGGCCGGTTGGCGATGGACTCGAGCTCCTGCAGGTTGGCTGCTCCCACCCCGATGCCAAACACGATGACTCCCTGTTGCCTCAGGCGCTGGGCGGGTGCGATCACATCGTCCGTGGAGTCTCCATCCGTGATAACCACAGCGATCTGAGGCACTCTTTGGCCGGCTCTGCTCCCTGCTTCCTTCGTGAAATACTGCGTCCGGAGGAAGTCGATGGCCTTGCCTGTTTCTGTGCCTCCTGTTCGGTAGGGAAATGTGTCCACCGCCTCCAGCAGGGATGTCTTGTCCATGTGATCCTTCAGCAGGAACTCCTGGTAGGTTTCATCGCTGTACTGAGCCAGGCCGATACGAACCTTGTCGGGTCCGATGTCGAGTCCTGTGACGACACTTCGGAGAAACTGTCGCACCTCCGTGAAGTTACTGATGCCGATGCTGGAGGATCCGTCCACCAGAAAGACCATGTCCGCCACGCTGGCTTTGGCACATTCTGGACAGGAGGGAGAAAAAAACTAACAATAATTGAACACTTAATGCCTTTTATACATGTTAGGGTCTTACTGGTACTTTGTCCATCATGTACATTCTCAAGAGGGACTTCATTCAAAAAGGTTTGACATTTTTGTTTTGGTCTTGTGAATAACACTTGGATTGTGAAGAAAAGGAAGGGATTAAGCCAAACAAATGGAAGTGCGCTGCTCTCCTGCACAGCGTGTCTCGGTAGGCTCCATTCTTCTTTTTTTCCCTTCTGTTTGTGTAAATATTGTCTAAATTTATTGCGTATGTATGAAATGTCCTTGTGCATGACTATGCTCTCTATTCTGTGACTTATATTTCTAAACTGTGAACCACATCTGGTACTGCAACACAGCCTCTTATGTCAACACCAAGCAACTTATGCTGTTTGATATTGAAAGGACGAGAGGCATTCAGAATGGCCTACAATAGTGCAATACATATGTATGTGCAATACATACATTACATACAGGGCTGCCCCTGGCCAAACTGGGGTCCTAGGCCAATTCTTTAGATAACAATTTGAGATAATTGAGCATTCGAAGTCTTTATTATTTTGGATGAGGATTATAACTTACATTATAACTTTATCACAATTTTTTTTTTAAACTTCCATGGTTTAATGTGATATACCTTTTTTATTTGTACATATTAATCATACATGCTACATATATTGTAAGGAGTAAAGAAAGGGAAAAAATACATATCTTTAAAATGTTAATTTAATTTCTGATTTCTTTTTTAGACCCCAATTATTTCTCGGGTCAATTTCACCTGAACGGTACCAATGGCTGCAAAATGTGAAGTTAACCCTTATGTTGTGTTCGGGTCTCCCGTGACCCGTTTCAAGTTAGGGTTAGTAATGTGTTTGGGGCCATAAAATACAGTTACAACAGGACTGTACGGTTATGAATGCATAATAAGTTAGTTATGATGTAGTTAAAACAATATTGGATGATAGTCATTATTTTTGAGTGTTTTGGACTGAGATAAATCATGGGTCAAAAAGAACTAACCCTAACCCTTGCGAACACAACACAATGGATAATACAAGGGTTGAAGAGTAACAGGGTGAATAAACTGAGCACTTTACCTGTTGAGGTGTGTTCTCCTTCAGCCTGGAGGCCTGAGGAGAAATCAGAAGATAAGGTAAACAGAGTTTTCTATCATCTCAGGAACACGTCAGTGAACTCACTCTGGAGTCATTTCACCAGTTTACTAAAGCTGAGAATAACACGTTCATACAGAGAAGTCACATATTCAGAGTTAAAGCAACAGTTCAGATTAGAGAATATGCTCCTTCAAATGAGTCATGGTGCGCCATCATCACACTGACACATGTTCTACAGCAACAATTACATTAGGAGGAACCACAGAGGATGCTGCCAGTTCCCACCTTCTGCTGTCTCCTGAACGCCTCACTCCCCTATCACCAGGGTTGGGAGGGTTACTTTGTAAATGTAATCAGTTACTGATTACTGATTACATGGCTCTGAAAGTAATCCGAATACAGTTACAGTTACGTGTCTTAAAAAAGTAACGTAATCAGATTACTTTTAGATTACTTTTGGATTACTTTCTTTTTCCATCACAGATGGGTATGTTTTGGTGAACAGGAGACGCAAAAAGCAAAAGGAAACGTGTTTTTACTGTTTTAATGGCTTATCAAGAGCACAACTGAAACATAACATCTGAAACGATGTAACAACATAATACACTTTTTGGGGATGCAGCTTGGGATGTGAGGAGTGAGGGACACGGCTTAGAACGGGCGTGTCGCCTTCTGTCCTGCCAGTGTTGGCAGGACATGAATTAAAATGTCGAACTCGGACTTCATTTTAAGGACATTTCGGCCAGGGGTGTAGAGCTATATTTGTTTAAGCACCGGATTGGCACTTCATGAAATCTCTGCAGCACCAGGAGGCAGCGGGAGGGTTAACTCAGCCTCTGAGAAGAGGAGCGCGCAGTGCCTTTCACGCACCGCCTTCACTGTGCTTACCTTCAGAATCATTAGAAAGGCTAAAGAGCGACCGCAGGCTGATGTGTTTTAACCACACACACCTCTACACACACACGGTTTAAACGCAGACTTTTGTTCCTCCATGTCTCGTTGTTATTGTTTCACTGAGCGGACCCGTGAATTTTATTCAAACGCTCCCTTTTTTGGTCCATCTGCGGCAGTAATAGGTTTTGTGCGCTGTGATGATTCGGCTGTACCTTTAGTAATGAATATTAAATGTTGTGAGGAAATCTTTCCACCAATAATTCCAATAAGTATTCCAAAATGTATTCACTTCAGGTTTACAAAAGTAACTGTAATCAGATTACTCGTTTTTCAAATGTAACGCGAGCTGAATACAGTTACTTGATTTTTGTATTCTGATTACGTAACGCCGTTACATGTATTTCGTTACAACCCAACCCTGCCTATCACTAACTGCAGACATTAACTAACTGACCCGCACCTGTTTTAATATGACCTGGTATACAGTGGAGCAATGATGTCCTATTTCTGTAGTGGAATCTAAAGGCAGCATCTCCCTAATTTTTCTTAATGTTTGTGTGTGTGTGTGTGTGTGTGTGTGTGTGTGTGTGTGTGTGTGATTGTGAGTGTTAAGTGATCGTTTTTTTCATTTTAAAACCAACGCTTTCTGCCAATCAGACTAAGTAATGTCAGATTTTCTAAATAAAATGTAACAGACATTTCTGCAGATTTGTGATAAAGTGTAAATGTTTTCCCAGATATTTCATATTAAAGGCTTATTTTAACTTTATATAAAGTGATTTTTTTCTGCCCAAAAGTGTGGAGTTTATTACAGTTTTTTTAATTGCTAAAACACATTTTTTGACAACAGGGCTAATTTTTTAAAACCACTAAACACAATTCACAAAACCACACACCCAAAGTCCAAACACCTCATATATCTTCCAAAATGAAGCACTGCACTCAAAACTACTTACCAAAACCAAGCTTTTGCACCAAATGGCACACACTTCACTTATGGAGAATTTCCACTGCAGCACGTAGCACGGTTTAAGCGTGCCCTGCCAAACCCGGCCCGTTTTTTTTTGCTTTTCCACTTGGGGTAGTTCTGGCTAACGGGTACTTTTTCACCTTTTTTCTGGCCCTCCAAAATTGAAGTTCTTTCCGGGCCAACAACCGGGCTGAATATGCTAAACTAGTGAGAGAATCGCTGGCAAGGGGGCTACAACTACAACAAGATGAACATATTTTACCGTTATTTAATTGTAATACACGTTTCAAAATGATGCCGAAGTAACAACATACTGATACCGGTTAGTAAAAACTGCTTCGACAAGTCTGCAGACAGACGGCAGGCGAAAAACCTTTTAAAATACGCGTTTTCTAAATGGGGTTCGGCTAAGCTAACGCAGTATATGCTCCGACCGTCCACACTCACAACAACGGCCTATACAGACATAAATAAAGCAGCGACTGTATTCACCATGACACAGACAGTCTGTGGTTTGTACTTGTTTAACTTTTGTCTAGTTTCTGAACAGATATGAGGAGCTGTGAGCTCTGAGTGCTAACAGCTAACGGCTGATGTTGGTTTTCTGTAGTTCGCATTGAAGATGACATTACATTACATTACATGTCATTTGTTAGCCGCTTTTATCCAAAGCGACTTACATACATTCATTACTGTGGACAATCCCCACAGGAGCAATTTGAGGTGAAGTGTCTTGCCCAGGGACACAACGACATGCTGACTGCAGTGGGACTCGAACTTGCTATCCCCTGATTCGAAGTCCAGCACACTATCCACTGAGCCACAGCCTCCCTCAGATGACGTCACGGCTCCACCTACACTGTGTTACTATAGTTACTGCCCCAGCTACTAAACTGTAATGGAAACGCAGCATAAAGTGAGCCTGGCCTACCAACACACTCTCACTCCCTAAGCGTCCAGGAGCGACGCTTGGTCAGGGTTCCGTGGCGTCCAGTTGTGACGCGCCTAGGCTCCTTCAGCTTCATAAACGGACGCAAAGAGCTTTCAACTGATTACAATGTATTCCCATCGGCAGCGGTATTTGACGCTTACAGGGTTGCCAACTTTGGGTACCTGGCTGGAGTGAGATTTTCATATCATGGGTTTAATTCGGTTTAATTACACATATGCGCACGAAATGACTGCTATCGTGTCAGCAGCGGGACCTTAGCATATATATAGGATATATATACAATATATACAAATACACAATAATGGACACAGACTATAAAGGGCACAAAGTTTCATTCACTAATGAAAGTCAAACATGTTTGTTTCCACTGTTTTATTGTGTGCCTGTCGCGATAAGCAATTAATTGACTTATCGTACGATAAATAAAAATGAACTCGATAATTTTTATGACCTCGATAAATTGCCATTTACATGAGGATGTGACTAGCAGTTTGAAAGGATGTACTTGAATTATTATTATATATTATCATTATGTCAGTGGTCTAAAATGGTCATACAACGGTGCCGACAATATTATCGTTTATCGCAATAATTTCTGGGAAAATGTATCCAACAAAATTAATTATAGTGAGAGGCCTATACATGAAACACACACACACACACAAATCTACAGACTTACTCCAAACTGCCAAATATATTAATTAACACACTCTCACTCTCATATACTCTTTGACTCTATTTTGGCCTAGTAGAACAATAAGCAGCAGACTTTTACTTTGTTATAATTTCTACTGGATCTTAGATCTGCGCATGCGCAATACGGGTCGGCAGTTGCGGCTCCAGAATATTTTTGTTGGGTAATCTATGGTAGGGCTAACCCTTGTGGTGGGGCTCAAATCAGTATTTGCAATGTAATTACATACACGCTCCCCCCGACAGTGAAACGCCACGCGTGAGGTTTAGATTATTTCCCTGTCTCAATCCAAATTGAACAGTATGAAATAAAAAGGCACATTTGTCTTGTAGTAAATAAAAAGGGTGACCTGGAGCCAATCCTGCAATTTCCCCACAGGTGAAAGAGTTGACATGCTGAAGACCCAACCCCTGCAGGGGGGTCTGGGGGGATTCTCCCCCAGGAGATTTTTTAAAATACTAACATAAAATACACATTCTGATACTCTCTTGAGAAGAAAAATAAATAAATCTATTACTACACATTTAAAAAAATAAATGCCATTTTTGTTTTGTGTTAGTTTGTTCTGAAAGCTGAACCTGCTGCTCCTCACAGAGAGAAGAGGCTGTGTGAATTACTTTACATTGTGGATAAGGGTGGATAGCCCCCATTGTTCTGTGTGTCAAAATGAAAGACAGCCCACACACCTATCAATCATCAAACCGTGGGGTCTTATTTACGTGTTGATTTCTATCAACGCGTAATGTTGTATCGATGTATAGAGATGTACTACCGCAAAAGTATTCTCCGTCGGGACTTCCTGCAACAACACCACGCCGTTATCGTGATTCTGATTGGCCAGAAGACATTATCAAAGATGTTCTATTGAGAAGATGATCACTACGTGACAAAAGTTTTCAAAACCGTTTCTAGTCTTCGGTATTCTTGTTTTTGGCGTGAGAATAGTTTGGGCAGCGTGAGAGCGTGAGATTGAGAGTGAAAGCGTGTGTCACACGCCAGATGCGTGAGAGTTGGCAACCCTGCGCTTATGGAAGCACGGCATTCGTTTGTGTCGGAGGCTGTTAAAGGCAATGTGAGCGTCCATTCCCATTGGATAACGGAGAATTGTACACCCGGAAGTAAGTATTCCCCTTGCTGTGGATTGATTTGACAGTGATATCTCCACTACTCATCAACTCAAAAACACCAGATTATCCTTGTTAATTAAACGACATTGATAGGTTTTAGTGTGTGTGCAATGCTTTTGTCACGTTTTCCCCTTCAATTCTGAGAAACAAGTCGTTTTCTATGAGTTTTGGATGGCCGAAGACATTACATTACCCACAATCCTCTGTAGCAACCATAGACTGTATACAACAATTAAATAATACATTATTCCGAGTGTGCTTGCTTTTCTCTTTGAAAGTCATCACATAACGGCATTGTAATACACGTTTCGGCTGCATTAAATATGACATATCTGCCGTAGTTAACTCTATGTATAGAGCCCTGATGACAAGACTTCTAGACAAACAGGAACTGCCGCCAAAACTGAAAACTTGACGTGGATCTTAAATATATCAGCAATTAAACAACATCTTACATTTCTTTTCACACAATACGTCTCCTTGTAGTATCAACACTAATTCGGATGACTTTTATATTTGATCCAATTGGTAGATAGGCTGTATTTACACCATAACGGTGCACAGCTGATAGAAAGGGACACCTACTGGTTAA